GCCACTGTTGAAACTGATCAGTTTCAGCAGCGGCTGAATCTGGACGCCAGTTCCGACTTACATACAGATTCAACTTAAGAACAAACCTATAGTTCCTATCTTGTACGTAACCCGGGGACTGCCTGTACTTCAAACAGATTGTGAGCTGCTTGGATTTTATGGAAATAGGAGCCACATAAGCACCTAAATTAGACAGATCGATGGGTTACCGGAACATGATGATTATCGTTTATCTCACAGACGTGACCAGCTCACTCAAATGCAGAATATGAGCTACAGATGTGTAAGGAATGTGTCACCTGGCAACTAAAAGGGAAAATCAAGCTGTCATCCTGTATGTCTGATTTTACCACAGATTTGCTCTGCTTGTACAAAGCAGCCTTTACAGGGCTTTACTAGCTTTTCCCACTGCTGTGCTGACATATCTGTGGTGTTAATAAATTGCCTTTACTGCCTGTGTTTCCATGGAACGAAAAGCCAAGTTTTCAGTCTTCTGTTCTGGACTTCATATAGTTCAAAACATAATTTTGTTGTTAGTTTTTGAAGTTGAGCGTGCAAGACTGTAAAAGAAAATGTAGGCTGAAGCGGCACATTCAAAACAGAAATTAATAACAGGCTAGAGATACAAAGAATGGGATTAATATAGACACACAGGGTATGTTCTGGCATCCAAAGAATATTCCAGAAATGTAGGTCATGTTGACAGAGTAGTCCATTAGCTAGTATAATCTTCATTATTATAGGCAGAAAAATTTCTTTGACCTTTCATATTCATCTCTTCCAATGTTCTCATTGTTTAGTGGCTTGTTTTTTAAAATCATTTGATGCTGCAAGTAGGCAGATGTTTAAAATGGCATAGGGCTAAATCATCATGACCAGATATTATGAGATGTGGTTGCTTTAAAGTAGGTTAAACTCATCATGGGTAAAGAAATAAGTTGAAGTGCCTATTCTTGATGTGTCTTCTGTGTATAATGGAATCAGTGAACCAGAAATTCCATTTTCCAGAGTAGATGGACGTGTTATAACCAGATACCTGTAGGCCCAAACGGTATCAAGGCATTGCTTTTGGCGTACTCCTGTCACCCAAGTAATCGGTCTTGTTTGTAAACATTATTAGCCTGAAGAATTGTCCTCTTAGACCCTCTGCTGTACATGGGTGCCCCCCTCCCACCTTGCTTCATTGCTTCTGTAACTGCAGGCATCAGACCTAGAAAAAAGGGCAATTTTTACACCATTAAGTTTGTTCAGACTTTTTAAAAGTAGGAGTTTTGTAGTAACTTGCAGACACAGTAACCCAGCTCCCGTTTCTGTAGCATCTGTGCAAGATTTAACGCACTGATCCGCACAACATCCACGTGAAAGGGGGAAGTTCTGTTACTCCAGTTTACTGAGCAGGTGAGACTGAGGTAGAGATTAAGCTCACACGGGGTACATTTACACAGCATTTGAAGCAAGCAGGAGTGAGTCTTCCAGCCTAGGTTGATGGACTTGGGATAGCAGGGCTTGCGCTAGTCCCCTAAAACTGGCTCCTATGGACAGCACTTCAGTGTTGTGGCTCATGCTAGAGCAATGCTCTTCAACCTTTTTATGACTAAGATCACTTTTTAAATCTTAAAAAAAATTGATGTCTATGTCTAAGGTCACTTAGACCTTTCTGTGTCTAAGATCTGTCCTGCTCCTTCCCCAAAGTCCTGCCCACTCCATTTCCCCTTTCTCTCGGTCACTTGCTCTCCTCCACTCTCTCTCACTTTCTCGGGGTGTGGTCTCTGGGCTGGAGTGAAGGGACTCGGGTGAAGGAGGGGGTCAGAGGTGCATGCTCTGGGAGGGAATTTGGGTAAGGGGTGTAAAAGGTTAACCTGCTACCCAGTAAGCATTAGCCTTACTGGCACATTTACCAGTGTAACCGGTTAACTGGAGGGCCTGGCTGGTGGGAACAGCCCCTGGCTCTCAGTGGGGCAGGCTGGGAGAAGAAGGGCTGTAGCAGCCACCCGGCTGCGGCACCGCTGGGCC